ATACCAAACCTGAAGAAGAATCACTAATAGCTGAAGCTTCCTAATTTGGTATTGAATATGCCTCAGGCCACTTGGTGAAATAATCCATCATCACACAAATGTACTTGTTTCCACCACGAGTTTGGGGCCATGGACCAGCAATGGCTACACTTTCCATTGGTGCGCCAACTTAATATAACTTTATTGGAGCATGTCCCTTATGCTTGGATCCCCGTTTAGCACAATGTGTACTGCAGGTCCTGCACCATTCTTCCACATCTTGTCTCATACATATCCAGTAAAATCTCTGCCATAGGTGACTCAATTTCTTCTTAACTCCAAGATGCCCTCCTGTTAAACTATCATGGGATTGACACAGCACAACTTCCCGTAACTTTCTCGGCATAACAGTTTGCCAGGTCGTCACTTTCCCATCTGCAGTTTCCCATCTCTGGACAAGAATACCATCTTCAAGCTTCAACTAGTCCCATTGTGCCCTATAGTTCTTTGTCACAGGGCTTAAGACTAGACACCTTCTCCCAAGCAGGGTGCAAAACACTTGCTTGTAGAAATTTAATTATGGACAGCCTTTCCTGCTGTGGCATCTTCCCTGTGTTGAAGTTGCTGGCATTGAGCTCTCTTGTGCCCAGGTTTGTTACAGTACCAACAAAGTCCCTCAAACTTCTCTGAGGGCTTCCCTTTTCTGGCCTTGAATCCTGATGACTGTACCAACCTTGGTACTTCTGTGCTGGACTCAAAATAGGATTCGAATTCAAGAGCTCTGGCCATTGCATCCTGTATATTCGAGGGGTGTGCTTGCTCCACTTGTATCTTCAATTGTGGACTGTCCAAGGCGTCTACAAACTGATCCCTCAGCAACAGCTTGAGGACATCAGGTGGCACAGTTGGGTAGGCCTTGTGTGCCATACTTTCCAAATCCTGTGCCAGCTCTTGCAGACTCTCCCCTTTAGCACGGACTCTCATCCTAAACCTAGCCCTGTAGACTTTGGACTGATTTTGAGTTTCATACCAGATTTCTAGAGCAGCTACCAGTGCTCTATAGTAGTGCCTGTCATCTGCTGACAACTGGCCAAGTATTTCCAGTGCCAACGAATCAGTTTCTGCTCCTCTGTCCATCCATTCTTTTCTGCCAGGAGCTCAAATAATTGTGCTCTATATGTTTCCCATGGTGCCTTCACATCGAATTCCTGTGGCTTCCTTCGTTCTAGATCACCCATATTGCTGACACTCATGTCTGTAATGTGACTTCTGGCAGGACTTAAGATGTCTGCATTAGAGTTCAGCTGCGGGAACAGGAAGGGGCTTCCTGTTGTCTGGAGCTGATTAGGTCCATGGTTAATATATCCTCCCTGTGTAGAAAACAGTAAATCGTCCTTTAATGTATTTAATTCACTTTGAAATTTACTAATCTTTTCCGTTTGTATATGCTGGCTTTCTCTCAACTGTTAGAGACTTCCTTCCTGTTTCTTTTTTTGTTCCAGTTGCCACTGGTGCTGGTTTTCTTTCCACTGCTGTAGTCTCTCTTCTTGTTTCTTTTCTTTTTCCTCCAACAACTGCTGCAGTCTCTCTTCCTGTTTATTTTCTTTCTCTTCCAACCACTGCCGTAGCCTCTATTCTTGTTTCTTTACTTTCTCCTCCAACCACTGCTGTAGCCTCTATTCTTGTTTATTTTCTCGTTCTTCTTGTTCTTTTCTTTTTCCTCTAACAACTGCTGTAATCTCTCTTCTTGTTTCTTTCCTTTCTCCTCCAATAACTACTGTAATCTCTTTTCTGGTTTCTTTTCTCGTTCTTTTTGTTTCTTTTTTTTCTCCTCCAACAACTGCTGTAATCTCTCTTCTTGTTTCTTTTCTTTTCCTCTAACAACTGCTGTAATCTCTCTTGTTTATTTTGCTGTTCGAGCTGCCACTTATGCTGGTTTTCTTGCCACTGCTGTTGTCTCTCTTCTTGTTTATTTTCTTTCTTTTCCAACTCCTGTTGTAGTCTCTTTTCTTGTTTATTCTCTCGTTCTTCTTGTTTCTTTTGCTTTTCTTGTATTGCTACCATCAAATCTGCTAAGCTGTAATTTGATTTGCCACTTCTCGTTTCCATCTTCTTTTTTTTTTGTTGTTTTTTTCTTTTCCATCCCACTTTCTGACACCAATTTGTTACGTATCTGCTTGTTTGTTAATTCCCGGTAGAAATTCTTTCTGAGGAACCTCGGCGATACAAGTCCTTTCTTGATTAAACCAGTTTATTCTTCCTCGATACAAACTTTTAGTACACAGTAATTCCACAGTCAGTACGTTTCTCGTCACTTTAAAATTAACAACTTTTATAATAGACGCTATAACTCACAGCGATTCACAATCTCGATAATTTCGCTCTCTACAAGTGCAAAACACACACTAGCTCG